ATGGTACAGAAGGAGAAAGCTGTCCAGGGAATGTCTGGAAGCTGTGAATGGTGGCAAGGATGGGGCCACAGTTGCAGCATTTGGTGTCTTGGTGGAGCTGGCATCATTCCAGCAAATAGATGAGCTCTTGTCGTCTTTCAAAAAAGGTAAGTACTGGCAGCTGAAGTTTGACTCTACCACAAAGAAGTACGAAGCCTCCGAGGACAATATGGAGAGGTCACTTGCTGCCAAGTTTGGAGGACAGTTCAGCCGGCGTAAGTATATTTCCCATTGCAAAACACTCGCATCTGTCTATGACCCCCAACAAGCCATCTACGTACCACGCAACACCAACATTGATGGAGTCAACTTCCGACAAACCAGGTTGGTATCGAGCACCAAACTCCAGGCAGTAATCGACAGCATGGATATTGGCCACATCCACCCAGTTCCAGGCCATGTAGGTGCAACGCGGCCTCTGATGTCCCTGGTTTACATGATTGTGGACCAGAACATCAGGCTGCCACACCTACATTCTAAACTGCGGTGGTTCAAAGGTAAGCAGTACCATTTTATATTCATCTTTGCTGATGACGGCACCCCGGAGACGCGCGATTCCAGCATGTGTGTGGGCACACTTTCATGCTTGAACTTTGGTGGCCAGGTAAGAAGCAGGGACGATCAGTTCCTGCTGCACATGGTAGGGGAGTCTGAGAAGTCACCTGTGTTGCGGGAACTCTGGGAAGAGCACTCTTTTCAGATGGAACTGTTGGAGTCGAAGCCACACATGATAGCAGGTAAGTTGTGTACGTTTGAGTTCATTGCTGGTGGAGACGAGTCGTGGGCTGCCACTGCACTCGGCGAAACCACAGGTGCTGCCACTTACCCCTCACCTTGGGCAAATGTGACTAAGACCAATATGTTCACTGTGGGTGGTAAGATTGGCGTGACCTGGCAACCCTGGACGGATGAGCAGCGTAAGGCAGACCTGCTCAAGCTGGAGGAGTACATGAGCTCACTGCCTTGTTGTCTGTCTGAGTCTGCACGCCGTAACAAGCGGAATGACTTCATGGCAGCCAACAAGATGCGGCAGCTCCGTACTCCTCTCATAGGTAAGTATGCTTCCGCCTTCTCTCCTGATTGTTTCCACACTGATGTGAATGCGTGGCACCAGTGGAACGATATGGTATACCACGAGGCTGTGAGACGCGACTGCGTGAAGCAGTACACTGATGTGTTAGCAGCGCCTGTTTCCTTGCCGAAGGCAAGGAATGGGCCTGCTCAAGGTAAGTATCAAGGTAAGTATCCTAGTTCTTTGTCAAATGAGGCTGCAGGAGACCGGGTGCGTCAGGAGAATGACATCACTGTACAGAGTGATAACATGTACAGTAGACTGGAGTCATCTCGTGCCAAGGATGACCAAGGTGAGTATCCCTCTCTTGTTGGATGTGGCATGAAGGCTATTGCTGCCAGGATCCTGGAGCATGACGCCAACAAGACAACTCGACACAGGAAGCTGAACGAGATACGCTTCATTGGGGAGAACGCCATCCGGGTAGCAAAATATGCTCACCGTCTGGTGGATTCACTGGAGATCCCCAATGAAGATGAGGTAAGTAAGGTGAAGAGACATGTCTTGGGGAGAATGGCCCACCTCCTGCGGGATGCTGGAACTATGTATAACAAGCATGAAACCAACGAGGCAGAGTTGACTGAGATGGGGCGACTCCTTGACCTCTACTTCAACCTTGCTTGCCTATTCCTGCCCGAGAACGCAAACCTGACTGTGTGGACGGTGGCGAAAGCCATCCAATACTTTGCCAGGATGCTCTTTGACAGGTACGGAGTAGGCTATGGAGTTGTCTCCATGCAAGGAAAAGAGGCCAAGAATGCCAGGGTCAAGGAGGACCTCCGTCTCACCAACCACTCCAAAACAGAAGGTAAGTCTAAGTATGATCAAGTTTTCCGCTCGGAATACTTTAGGGAATTCTACCTGAAGGAACACAGCCCCTCGCCTTCTCACTACAGGCCACACTTCAATCCCCGGGTCCCCTGTGAGGTGGGGACACCCGGGTATTGTGACTGTGGTAGAGAGATTGTGAGGGCAGATGTAGACAGGGTTGAAGAGGATTCCGACGAGCAGGTAAGTCTGTGCACCTTCTGTGTAGAGTCACTTGAGGTCATGGCATGTGCCATGGAGGGGGAGCTGTCACCACGGATGCTGGACATCCTCCTCCCAGCTGTGTGTCAGGTGTGCAAACTCCGTTTTGCCAATGACGACCTGATGAAGGAACACGGTAAGGCAGCCCACGTCGCCGAAGGAGGGCAAATAAATCCTCCTCAGAGTCAGACTCCTCAGGTGGGTACACCACACATAAATCCTAGAAACATGAGAAAGCAGCAGCTGGTGGATGAGCTGAAAAAGCGAGGGTTGCCTGCGGTAGGTACTGTTGCATGTCTGAAAGCTGCCCTGCTGGAGGCTCTCAACAATGGTGTATAGATATATTTTTATATTATTATATTATATTATATTATTATGTTATTATATAGGTCTATATGAATGAATGAATGAAAAGTCATTTTCGTGTCGTGCGCTTCCCCACACCCAGCCCGTGTGGGCTTATACGACACCGTTGATCTATATATGTTTAAACTACATTGATTGTGAGAGGTGGGAGACAATGCTCCTTCATGTCATGTGTTAATCCCGGGGACCAGACCTAGACAGCAGGTCCACCGGTGTGGGGCTCTCGAGCCCCCTGTTCTTTCCTTTTCAGGATCTGACACGGCTGATAGTGAGGATGATTGTGGGACTGGAGTAGTTGATGTTGCACCCCACCCAGGGGACCTCAGGGAACGATGGACAACGAGACCCTGAACTCATGTGAATTCTCATCAATGGGAATTCTGTGAACAATTTGAACTCTGAACAATTTGAACTCTGAACAATTTGAACTCTGTGAACAATTTGAATTCTGTGAACCATTTGAACTCTGTGAACAATTTGAATTCTGTGAACAATTTAATCTGAACAATTTGAATTCTGTGAACCATTTGAACTCTGTGAACAATGTGAATTCTGTGAACCATTTGAACTCTGTGAACAATTTGAATTCTGTGAACCATTTGAATTCTGTTAACAATTTGAATTCTGTGAACAATTTGAACTCTGTGAACAATTTGAATTCTGTGAACCATTTGAACTATGTGAACAATTTGAATTCTGTGAACCATTTGAACTCTGTGAACAATTTGAATTCTGTGAACCATTTGAACTCTGTTAACAATTTGAATTCTGTGAACAATTTGAATTCTGTGAACAATTTGAACTCTGTGAACATTGTGAACTGTAAAAGGAGTAGTTTATAGTTATCATGCTATAGGCACAACCCAGGCATATGTGAGTGTACCGCAATGGTAGGACAGGTAACTCCTCCATTTACTGAGGAAAAGCAGGGTGTGTGCGAGGGGTCTAAGGCATTCAGATGAGTCTGCTGGGTCATGGTTTGACAGCATTTTCTGTTTCATGAGACTAGCTGATGCACAATCCAAAGTGAAAATAGTCTAACTGAGATTCGCAGCCATTTTGTTGAAGTTTGTCTCAGCCCATGTGAAAGGGAGAGATAACAATGTGTTGAAGTTCATCTCTGTCCATGTGAAAAGGAAGAGAGAACAGTGTTCTGATGTTATGTGTGTGTTGATGTTCACCTCTGTCCATGAGAAAAGGAAGAGGGACCAGTGTATTGAAGTGACCGTCAAGACAGTATTGTAAGCCCTCTCGTAGAAAACATGATCCATCCACACTGTTGGAAGGGTCATTGTACCGTCACGACCAGTCGGTCGTGTCGGGGCGGAGAAAGGCCATGTCCTAGTAGCAATAACTGCTGACTAGGGAGAGGTACGTGGGCTCAGAGCGCGGTGACGTTAGAACCCCCTCTCCGTTGATTCGGTCTCCGCTATTAAGAGTTGAGGCTGAGGCTGTTATACAGTGCTCTGCAGACTGTCGTCACTCATTTTGTAAGGCTGCTATGTGTTGAGGCCTGTTATGCCTACAAAACTTGTGCAAAAGTTGTTTGTGTTGAGATATGCTGTCTGCCTGACCCCTGATTTGTTCTTTGTCTGAAACCTGGAACATGCGCAATGCTGTCCTTAGTTTTTCATGGAGTAACTCACCTGTTATATACAGGCTGTCCAAACTAAAGCTGTGAACCAAGGTGACACTTCACTCCATGCCTGAGTAGTGGTTATATGTGTAATGATTCGTCATGCCACCTGACATCTGACGGGATGCCAACCAGTACATGTTCTGTGTAGATTTAACTATGATAATCAAATTAAGAATATGTTTGACATTTAACATTTGTCAAAGTGGCTAACTATACAAACCTGAACATAGTGGACTTGTCTGCCACCACATATGGCATGTTTTGGCATTAAACAACACTGCTGGAGAAATAATAAAACAGTACTTGCTTCAAATATACACTATCTCTGATATGCTGTACCCCTATGTGACCCACTGTGATTCAGCAGACATGAGGAATCCTTTTTATTCTATATGCTACTGCAGGTTATCTATACAATCTGGTATGATTATATGACGTTTTAGAGGGAATTTGACTCCCTGTCCCTGGAATGGAGAATTATCTGATATGACATGATCTTTTAGAGCTGAATTCATAACATGTGTTCATAACATGACCTGATTTATGTATGACTCGACAGAAAATTATATGTGTATGAACTGATGTGACTCGCTGATGGAATGAGAATTTTTCAATATAACCTTTTGGAGCTGAATATGACTCCCTGTGTTTAAGATTGATATTACCTGGTAGATATATGACTGGACTGATATGTGTCTGAGTATTAACTGATATTGATGTGACTTGCTGATGGAATTGAGAATTATCTGATATGAATATGATCTTTTAAAGGTTGTACTGTTTCTCTGAAGTTCAATTTCAATAAATGTGACATCATTTGATACCCATTTCCATACTTATTACTTCTTGTTATCAGTAAGGAGAGATGCTGCAATTTGAGTTGGGTGACTTTATTCTTATAAATATTGTACAAATACATTCGTAGAACAAGAGAGGTAACATTTGCAAGGAAAATGCATAATGTTTACATTAGCACGAGGTCTGCTGAGACCCTGCTCTGTTACTCAAACCAAGGACATTATACACACATGTATGTATAATGTCCTTGCTCAAACACACACATATGTATGGTGCTATAAAATGGAGAAGAACAAACCGAGCAAAAACAACAATTTTCCTTCTGCAATGGTGAGCATAACTAGTAAAGCTACAACCTAAACTGATAACGGGATGCTAGCTTAAAGCGTGGTGTCCTCTGCCAGGCCATTCCTGTCGTACTTCTGCCTGTAGAATTTGACAGTCAGTCTGCCCGTCCTGCTCTTGTATGTCATCTGGAAGGGTCTGGCATCTGAGGCTACCACCAGCGTCTTCCCACGGTAGTGGTCGATCACTTCCTTCTGTGGAAAGGAAAACAGGTAAACACAGGCTTTGTCAACAGTTCAAAATATTATATAAGCAAGTATACCCCTTGAAACAAATGTCACAGTATAGTACATTAAGACTTTGTGCTTTTTCATGATTACTTACGCCAGGAGTGCGCTCGGTGTCGAAATGCAGCTTGCTTGTGTAGCTGCGTCCGTCACTGCGCGCCCCGCTCAGGATGGAGTTCAGGACGGAGAGGTCGGTCACTCTGACCTCCACCGTCCCGTACATCCCGGACCCGCCGACGTGGTGCACCTCAGCGCCGTACCGACTCATCAGTAGCATGATGTGCGAGAACAGCGCTGGTGCCACTTCCTTATGGAAGGTAGCCAGGCCGGTGCTGTTACTCCTCCGCAGCCGTCTAGCGACGTCCTCCCCGATTACGGTGAGGTGATAGTCGATCAGTGGCCCGGATACCATCAGGGCGTTTCCAGTGGTCTCCTCTATCTGAAAAAAAAACCCGGATTTTTCTTGATTATTTGGTCACAGCAACATAATTTTTCGAGTGATACTGCCTTGATCTTGATACTTCAAATCGGGCGGAAAATTTATGGATTTATTACATTATGTTTAAACAAAGTTAAAACCACGGATTGTTGCCGTTGCTGTTGCCACTTCTTTTGAATTTGAACTTGTACTACGGGTTATACAGATAAAAAATACGATGAAAAGTTGAAAACAAGCCGCCCATAAAATTGTCTGAGCGAGGGGACGCCACGCCGACGCCATATTGGAATGTTCAGAAATTCTATTGTTTTTATGTTGCAAAATACTATGTTTCGGCCAAGAGGTTCAAAAGAAACCTCCTTGGTTTCGGAACATGTGGATTATAGAAAAGATTAAAATTAACCAAGGATTCTATTTGAATAAACATTTCAACCAGATCTTTCGATGTGTCGATGATCGATAGGCCCGAAGCATAATAAAATTTTCACTGAGTTGTTTTTCTGTCAACTCCTTCAGTAGAGAAAGTGATCGGCCGGACGGAATCGAATAAAACGGATCATATTGAAAACGAATCTCACCTTGGCATTCAAGTTTCCCATGCCGTAGTCAGGCCTGAATCCCTCGGGAAGACCTTCCCTCAACCACCGTCTGTAGACCGGGGTGAAGTCCAGCTTCACGGCCGTAGAAGACGGTCTCCAAAATCTGCCGTCTCGCATCGGGTCCCGAGCTGCTTGAACTCCGCGTGATCGCGGAATCAAGGGACGGCTCGGTCCGGGAATGCTTACGCCAGTGAGCCCGGGCGCAGAGGGAGTTTTCGTGCTCTTCACTTTCGGCATTTTGGATAGTGAATTAACGTAGTGTGCAATGGAAACGGTGTTACCAACAAGGTCAGAAGCGTGAGAATGGTGCGAATGAAACTAGCGGTATTGTTTAAAGTGCGAAATTGAGGACAATAGGGGTGGGGCCAAGGTACGCATATGAAAGAAACGTCTCCCGCGAAAAAAAGTGTGAAGTCGGGTGCGACCCAAACATTCTTAGTTCCCGCCTGCAAATTTGCGAACCAATCAGCTGCCGTTGCTATTGGTGAGAGGTGGTTTATTGACAGCGATCTCATTAATATTCATGTCTCGCGTGTTAGGATTTTTGACCTGGAATTTGACCATCGTGAAGTTTCATGTTCTTACAACAAGAATGCATATCTTTTTCCTCAAGACAAAAATTCTTAATATATATACCACTATAATCTTTGAGACTTTGGTTCTCAGTTCAAGACCAAAATTCTTACTGTCAATAAACACTTTCTTCTAAGCAACATATGTCAAGAAAGTGAAGAACAAAATTCTTGTTTTTTCTGACACAGCCCAAGAAAAGCAAGAACTTCCTTTCTCAAAGTTTCTTGATATGAAAAACAAGAAAATTCAAGAATGTTATTCTAGTTATGACTTGATCTTTGTCTTCTAGTTTCAATATCTTGAATATTCTTGTTTTTTCTAAGCAATATACTCAAGAAAGGTTAGATCAAAATTCTTGTTTTTTCTGACACAGCCCAAGAAAAGCAAGAACTTCCTTTCTCGGAGTTTCTTGATATGAAAAACAAGAAAATTCAAGAATGTTATTCTAGTTATGACTTGTTTTTTAAACCCTGCTTTTCTTGTTTTTCTTACTATGAGAAATACAAGAAACTTAAGGGAAAAATTCTTGTATTTTCTTAACCATGGCAAGAAAGTAATTCTTCAGACAAGAAAAACAAGACCATTTAACTCAATTTTCTAGAACATTCTAGGGGGAGAAAATCACTGCTAGAAATTATTTCTTCACGTAAGAAAAAATAAGAAAA